CTCCACAGCCTCGCCAGCATTTGATGTTTGCTGTTTGGTTAAATTTTGCTATTCTTACTGGGTTGAGATAATATCTCATAGTTGTGTTCTGACTTACAAGACCACTAGGCATTTGTCCTGCAGAGCCACTAAGTGAATTTGAACCACCAACCTTTCAGTTCACAGCCAAGTGCTCAATTGCTACGTCACCAGGCGCTTTGCATAACCTTTATCCAGTTGCTTTACAGGTGTGACGATCAGTTACATGATTCTGGAATTTTCTGGGTTTTTAGAGCTACTCGTGGTTCTCCTTGGGGATGACATAGTCTGTGAGTTGTGCTGATCTGAGATGGGCTGCTTCTTGCTGTTGTGATTTATAGCTTTGGAATTCCAACACAAGAGTCAGAGGCTTGAAACACGCTTCAACAGTGAAGTGTGTGTGTGTGTGTGTGAGAGAGAGAAAGAAGAGAAGAGAGAGAGGAGAGAAAGAGACAGGAGAGGAGAGGAGAGAGAGAGAGAGAGAGGAGAAGAGAGATTCTTGATTCTCTTCCTCAGGGTGGAAAAAACTTGTGCTCTGCTGTAGGTCTGGGGAACTCCTTTGATCTTTATCACAGCCTTCTGAGCTGGTGTAGCAGGAAGCAGGTATAAGTAATGGTGGGGTCAAATCTTTTTTCCATCACTTGCCCTCAGTTTGTTTGAGTCATGGCCAGCCCACATGGGTAGAAGAGAATGACTCCAGACTCAAAACAGCTATGACGTCTTTTTTATTCTTTTTAGTGTGTGTACCGTCAAATCGGATCTGACTGGTAAAGGAGGAGATTGTCCCTCCTTCTCCAGCATAGCATCTGGTGGATTCGAATCAGGCACCTCTGGGACTGCAGTGCAGCTTCTTGTCACTAGGCCACTAAAGCTAGCCCAGCTATGACATCTTGGAAGCAACTGCAAGCCTGTCTGCTGAGGGTCCCCTGGGTGGGCTCGAACTGGGAGCAAGCAGATCACTCAGTGAGCAAGCTTTTTTGCTTCTTTGCTACACATGGGGAACAGTGAAATAGTGAACAAACCCAAGCGAGCCTTTCACGTGCATGGTTGTGATGCAGTGGGTCTGTCTTTCAAAATTACTTTCCTAGGCCCTTGACTTGGACTTTTACCGCGTGGCTGGGCAGGAGCACGCAAACAGGTTCTGTTGGCCCGTCCAGGAAGAAAGGGGCCAGTTTGCCAATCTCACCAGGTCCCAACTAAGCAGTTTCAGCTGCAGAAACATTGGGACTGTAGCTCCCAGAAAGGAAGAAGGAGCAGGGAAAGACAGGCATGTCCTTCGAGGCCAGAGATTCCTGCCTCAGTCTGACCAGAAGGTCCTACAGGAGAGCAGCAGTGAACCAGAGGCCCGACTGAGAGAGAGCTGATCCACAGAGTCAGAGGCAACTTGCTGGAAGGGTGCGAAGGGGAGGTGCTATAATTGGCAGGCCTCAGAGGCCTTTGTAACAGTAGCCTAGAGCCCCAGGGCTGAAGGCTGAGTGGCCTGTGAGCCTGCTTGAGAAACTCCTGAGTGAGACATTGTATCCTGTTGCCAACTTGAGCTGTAACCTATTAACTTGCCTCATGAACACTCTCATTGGATGGTTCTGTGAGGCCTGTGTTACTATTGCAATGGATTTCGGACCCAACAGAGCAGTACACATGGGGTTGTAATTACTCGAAGCTGGAATTGGGAGGGGCCCTGTCTGACCTCAGGAGAATTGGTTCTGTGCTGTGGATGCTGTTGATGGGGTCACTTTCCTCTTTGGGGAGTTAGCAGAGGTCAATGACAGTGGTCCCCAGACAGAACCATCTTTTTTTTTTACACTTGTGTACTGGGTACTCCATCCCTGGCAGGGCCAGCAAGTTTGCAAAGAGGCGTTGATTCTATAGGAAAAGGCTGTGGAGTTGGAAGCGCCACATGCCAGCCGTACCGAGCAGCAGAATTTCTGGTGTGGAGAGAAAATGTGACGTTGATTAACTATAGATGCTGCTGCTTACTTGGTATCCCCATCCTGGTTTGAATGACATGAACTGTTGTTAATAGAAGAGCGCATTCTTCTGTTTGTATCACTGGAAACTCCTGAGTCAGAGTCTAAAGGTCCTGCATGCATGGCTCTAGGGGTTTCAATATGACAAAGACAGTGTGGAATGGGGTCTCATGTTGACGTTGAATCAGAACTGACTCATAGCTCATCCTCCAGGGGTTTTCAGAGGCTGTAAATTATGCATCAGAGAGCTGGACAATAAAGATGACAGAAGAATTGACGCCTTTGAGTTGTGGTGCTGGAGAAGGGTACTGGAATATCTCACAGACTGCCCAAAGAAAAAAGTTATGTCCTGCAAAGGGTGTGGCCAGAGAGTTCCTTGGAGGTAAAGATGATCATGCATCTTTTATACTCTGGACACGTAGCTAAGCAAGGCTATCCCGTGGACATGGACATCGTGCTTGGAAAGACGGTCAGTGAAGGAGAGAAGACCCCCAGCTAGACTGACACTGTGACTTCAGCAACGGGTTCCAGGTTTCAAGTTGGCTGTTCATAAGGTCACTGTGAGTGGTACTTGACGCAATGGCGCCCAACAACAAGACTGCATGGGATGAATTTGCCTTTATCCTGTGGAGCAACTGGTAGATTTGAACTGCCTGCCTTTTGAATTGGCAGCACAATTCCTTACCCACTACACCGCCAGAGCTCCCTGTGGACTGGGATGGGGATGGGTTTGAGCAGAGATAGGATGTGAGATGGTCAAAGAGGAAGGGGGGGGGGGGTGTAGTGGTTCAGGCAAAACCAAACCAAAGCTCATTGTCAATCAGTTGGCTCTGCCTCCCGCCCCCCCGCCCCCCAGCAGTATTTCTGAAACTGTAAATCTTGGTGTGTGTGTACTGTCAAATCGGACCTGACTCATACAGGAGGAGATTGCCCCTCCTTATCCAGCAGAGCGTCTGGTGGATTCGAACCGCACACCTTCGGGATTTCAGTGCAGCTTCTTGCCACTCGCCCACCAGAGCTTCCAGAACTGTAAATTTTTGAGGTGATTGCCTTTCTTTGAAGTACCTACTGGATTTTGAACCAGTGACCTTTAGGTTAACAGTCATAACACATTAGATCACCAGGATCCCTTTGCTCAGGTGAAAGAAAATGAAAACCCAGGTAGGCCAGGGGCCATGTGACAAGAGGGCAGGTGTGACCAGAAGGTTACACTATTAGGTTCTCGGTCCTGAGGGCTATTAACGTGAGAGGAATAGTTCACTTTGGCAAACAACAAGTGAAATTACTCTTCTCCCATGGAGACGCTGGTGGATTCAAACAGCCAGCGAGGAGGCGTAGCCTCCGGGTCAGCAGAGCAAGTCCCTGTGGACAAGGCCAGCAGGGTTCACTTAGTATTTTCTCACTGAAGTATTTTCTCATTGCCAGGGCTTTATTAGCCCCAACTCCTCCTCGCACCTGATCCAGGAATTTGAGCCCTCACCTTCCCCTCCCCGACCCTGGAGCCCTCCCCAGTAAAACTGCACGCACACAGTCCTCCTTGAATTGTATATTGATGTACAAGAAGAAAATGAACATGATGGATGTGGGCGTGAAGGGGGCATGCATCTCCTCCCGTGACTGATGGGAGCCAGAAGCTCTGGGGAAGTATAAAAAAAAAACAAAAAACCAACTCTTTATACATTTTTCTATATCGTGTTGTGCAGGTGAGGCCCAGAAGCAGCTGCAGGAATAGCAAGGTCACAGACACACACACTCATGCAACATGGACACAGCACCCCACCCCACCCAACCCAAAAAAGAAAAAGTCCTTCTTGGAGAATCCGGCCACCTGTCAACGTGGGCCCTTATGAACACAGCACCAGAAAGCTGGGCCGATAGTGCCGTTTAGGGCCGGTGGTGGCCATATTCTCCTCTTGGCGGGGGGATTTATTTTTAACACTGAGGTTGGAGGGCCATATGATTGCTGTCTTCAATGCGGCTCTTCATCTGCCAGCACACCACTCCTCAATCCCTTTAAGACAGCCTCTAGGCACTGAGTTTTTGATAAGCTTGACAAGAAAGAAAACTCCAGAGCCAGGCTAGGTTCTAGGGACCCAAGGTCTGCACTTAAAAGCCTCCCACTTCCCCCTCTCCCCGCCCCAGGCAACCCCCCCCAAGAAATGACCGACCTCGAGTTTGTTATTTTTTTCTGTAAAAAAAAATTTTAAAGGAGGGGCACCATGTACCCCCCTTCATTGGGAGAAAAGGGTGTCTTTCCCTTGGCTATCTCCCACAAAGACCCGGACACACACACTGGCTAAGGCACAGCGAGGGCGAGCAGGCATGCTTTGGCAATGAGGCCCCTACAGGGCGGAGGCTCTGGGCATTAAGAGCTGCAAATGAGCGGTGGTGGTGGGATGTGTGAGCTCAGCACCTTTGAAGGTGGGGGGAAAGGGGACAGTGACTCAGGGCTCCCGAGAGAGAAACAGCAAGAGACAAGAAAAGGAGGCAGGACTATGAGGAGGAGAAACTGGAATATGAGGAAGAAGAAAGACAGAAGAGGAGACAGGAGGAAGGCAGGGATGGAAGGAGAGAGAAACCAAGATGGGGGTGGAGAAATAGGAGGAAGAAATTGGAAGATGGGAGAGAAGAAAGAAAAACAAGAAAAATGGGAGGTGGTGGCCCTGATTTGCAGATGAAGAGAGAAAACCTCTGTTCTTGTAGAAAAGAGAACAGGGGGGAGAAAAAAGAGGAAGAGTGAAATAGAACAGTGGATGCAGGGAAGAAGCGGAACGATAAGAAAGGAGGAAAGCAGCGGCAGGGGGGAGGACATTGAAGTGAGAGCAAAGTGAAGGAGACAGGAAGTGAGGGGGGCGGGAAATAGGGAGGGACAGGAAGTAGGAAGCCAGAGAGGAGAAGCTGCCGGAAGTGGGTGGAGGATGCTCTGCAAGGGTGTCAAGAAATCAGGGCTGGAAAAAAGAAAGAGGGGAGCCAGAGGGGTTAAAAAGAGGGGGACGGGGAGCCCCGGCAGCGCCCTCAGCTGAAGAAGCTCAGGCGGCTGGAGTAGACCAGGTCGGTCAAGTAGGTCAACAGGTTGATGGCGGTGAGGATGGTGATGGCCATCCTGCGGTCCCAGATGCAGATGGACTGGCCGACCGCGCCGCGGCAGCTGATGTCCCGGGAGCGCTGGGCTTGGCCGCCGAAGCGCGAGTCGAACTGGTAGAGCGGCCAGAGGACCATGGCGGAGATGTAGAAGAGGACCGAGATCAGGGCCAGGGCGGAGAGGAAGCTGGGGAAGGGGATGGGCAGCTCGTTGGTGCAATCGCAGAGGTTCAAGATGATGGCCACGGCTGACAGGATGAAGCACATGGCGTAGACGGCCACGCACCACTCCAGGGTCGCGTGTCGGGTGTAGAGCGTGGTCTCGCTGAGGAAGGCGAAGATGACGCAGGCCACGAAGGTCTCCACCACCTTGAGCAGGCCTGACACGGTGGCCATGTAGACCGTGACCTCGCCCGGCCGGGCCCGGGTCCAGGACACCTCGTAGGCGTAGGCCAGGAAGGCCACGATGGAGCAGACGCAGGCGGCAATGGCCTGGTCCCGGACTTGGCCGCGGGACAGGTGCTGGACGTAGGTGGTGGGGTAGATGATGGAGGTGGACAGGCAGAAGAGGGCTGCGTAGCAGGCGTAGGTGATGGGAAAGCTGGTCCAGGAGAGGGGGAAGAGGTGCTCGAACTCGCAGAGTTCCACTGCGATGATGATGAGGGTTACAGCGAAGCAGAAGCACCACGTGAACATGGCCCAGTAGCCCATGGGTCCCGAGTAGGCACCCACGCTGGCCACCAGGGAGAAGGACGCGCAGGTGGCCAGCAGCTGCAGCAAACGGAGGAGGGTCAGGGGCTTGGTCAGCGTGTGTCTCACGCCAGGGAAGGCCGACCTCGTAGACGTGCGCGTTACTGGCGGCATGGCTGAGGAGGAAGGCATAGACAATGCTGTACAGAACTGATCAAACCCTCGTAACCCACGGTTGGTCAGTGCAGACCAGAGCTTCATAACCCACTGCCAGTCAGTACAGATTAGATCATCATAACCCTCTGCCAGTTAGAATAGACCAGACCCTCACACCCACTGCCAGTCAGGCCAACATTCCAACCATAGCACAAACCAGAATGCCTACCCACCACCGGCCAATGCATAACAGATTGCCAAAACCCACCGCCGTCGATCCATCCTGACCCACAGTGCAAACCAGACTGCCAGGACCTACCATCCACCAGTACAGCCCAGGTGACCACACCCACTGCTGGTGGACTGGAACTACTAACCTTCTGGTTAGCAAAGCAACATAAAAAGTGCACACCAGGGAAGGGTGGGCAGGGAGAAAAATGCAACAATGAATGAATAGAAATCCAAAGTCTCTAAGTTCATTAAGATTAATAACGGGGGTCGGGGAAGTACACTCCAGACTTCCTCATGCACCAAAACCAGTACCATCCAGTCCATTCTAACTCTTCGCTGACATCCAGCTAACCATTTTGAGGCTGTAGATATTTATGGGTAGATACTGGGTTGTCCTTCTCCCGAAAAGCAGCTGGAGAACTTGAACCACTTACCTTTTGGTTAGCAACACAACACAACACACATAACACTACACCCCCAGAGCATCGTCCTTCTATAATACACCAAACTAAAGCCAAATCCGTTGCCTTCGAGTTGATTCGGACCCACAGCAACCCTCCCATCAGGTTGCTAACATTGTAGATCTTTCTAGAAGGAGAGCCCCTGCCCATCTTTCTCCTAAGGAGCGGCTAATAGACCTGATTGGCTAAACTTTTTGGTTACCAGGACCTCACATACTGTACTAAACCACCCCCGTACAAATTCATGTACAAACTCATCCCCGTCAAACAATTCACCAGCAGAATCCCAAGACTGTAAATCACAGGAGAGGAGACTACCCCACCTTCCTCCCACCAAGCCGCTGATGGATTCGAACCACCAAAGAGGCCGCTGAGCAACTCCCTCCTATCATTGAGGCTACCGGAGTTCCCTCCTTAGACAACACTCCAAACAAAAACCAGACCCACTTCCGTCAAGTCACTTGCAACTCACAGCAACCCTTCAACGGGTTTCTGAGGCTATCGACTGTTGTGGAAGGAGACCGTCTATTTTTCTTGTGAGGAAGCAGTTGGTGGATTCAAACCACCAACCTTCTGGTTTGACTTGGGAAGAGACAAAAGGAGGTGTGCCAGCTCTCTAGTGCTTTGCTAACAAAAAAATACCACAAGGGGGTGGCTTTAATGAACAGAAGCTTATTTTTTTCCTCACAATTTAAGAAGGTAGAAATCTGATTTTAGTCTACAGCCGTACCATCCTGAACGTGCCCGATCTCGTCTGATCTCGGAAACTAAGCAGGGTCGGGCCTGGTTAGTACTTGGATGGGAGAAATCTGATTTTAGGGTCCTGGCTTTAGGAAAAGGCTTTCTCTGTGGGTTTTGGGGTTCTCAGGTTCACTGGTGATCTTCACGTGGTGTGCTATCTTCTTTTATTTTTTTAAATTTTTTCTTTTATTATTATTTTTTGTGTGAGTGTACCATCAAATCAGATCTGACTGGTACAGAAAGAGATTGTCCCTCCTTCCCCGGCAGAGCATCTGGTGGATTCAAACCGTGCACCTCTGGGATTGTAGTTGCAGCTCCCTACCACCAGGCCACCAGAGCTCCCCATGGTGTGCTATCTTCTAACCACACAAACTGCTTGAGTAATCTGCTTCCTTATATCTCAGAAAGAGACTGACCCCGGACACTAATACTTAGTACTAAGGACTAAAGAAAGTGTTAATAATTAGAAGAAGGTGCACCTGATCCACGCCATGGTCTTTCTGTGCATCTGAAAGTTGGACAATGAATAGGGATGAAAAGAGTAATCATTGCCTTTGAATTGTGATGTTAGAGAAGAGTACTGACTAGCCCATGGACTGCCAAAAGAACACACAAATATGTCTTGGGGGAAAAACACGCAACTAGGGTGGCTCCTTAGAAGCAAGGAGGGTGAAACTTGGGGCATGTTGTCAGGAGGGGCTGACCAGTCCTTGGGGAAAAAAGACATCATGCTGGACGAAGTGGAGGGGTCAGAGAGAAAGCCCTTCAACAAGACAGACTGACACAAAGACTCAAACAGTGGGCTGGGGCCTATCAGAGACAGTGAGGATGGTTCAGGGCGGGGTTCAGATGGGCCGTGATGAGTTGGAGTCAACTTGATAATGGCTAACAATTACACTAATCCTGCTGTCTGAATGTTATGTGCCTGTCAAGTCGCTTCTGACTCATAGTGACCCTATAAACAACAGCCCTGGCTCTATCTCTTGCCAACCTTACTTTCTCTGACACACCCATCCCCTTTACCCCAGTGACAGAACCAGACTACCTCATAGAGGGTCTTCCCTCCACCGTCCCAAGCATGACGTCCCTCTCCAAGGACCGGTCCCTCCTTGCAACATGTCCAAAGTATGTCAGATGAAGCTTCAGAATCCTTGGCCTCCAAGGAGCAGCCTGGTTTAACCCTCTCCAGGATGAACCTGTTTGTTCTCCTAGCAGTCCATGGTATATTCAACACTCTTCTCCAGCACCACAGCTCAAAGGCATCAATTCTCCTTCTATCCTCCCTAGTCATTGTCCAGCTCTCTGACTGCAAAGACCATGGTCTGTATCAGGCGCACCTTAGTCTCCAGACTGACACTGTTGCCCCTCAGTACCTTGGAGAGGTCTCTGACAGCAGACTTTGCCAATGCCATTTTTTCTAGAACAACAAAAACCCAACATCTGAATTATATATAAATATATGTGGATATACTGATTATAGACACAGGGGCAATGCTGTTTGGAACCTTATGGCTAATAAGAGACCCTGCTGGACAGTTTAAAGTGGCTGTAACGCACTCCATACACACCTTTGACAGCTGACACTGCGGGGTGTGAGGAGAGCCAATTTATGGAAATCAGCATACACCCACTTGAAGAGTAAGGATCTGGTCAGTGGTGCTGGGGTGAAAGCCCAAGGTCAAGGTCGGCTCTTCTGTGGGGCAGTTGTGCTCTGTCCTAACGGGGTGCCGTGTGTTGGAATCGACTCACAGGCCACGGTTTTTCTATGCACCCTTAATTGCAGTGAGCGTGTTTCGAAGCATCTGTCTAGGAACCGGCGGGATGGTGTTAATCATCTCCAGATGAGCCGCTCAGCTCTCCAGGAAATTAATTACACGCAGATTTCTGAGCCTGGGAGGTCGGCACCTCTCACCCTTCCCCAAGGTCAAATCCACTGGAGAGATGAACGGCGTGTGCAGAGACAAGGAACACGCATGGAGGGTGAAGTGGGCGCTTGAGATCACCAAAACAGCAACAAGGGGGGGAAGAAAAAAAAAGAGAAAAATCCACAACCCAACAAAACGACCCTGAAAGTGGAGTTCACACCACACTGTTCAGGGAGTGGGTTGCTTTCACTGTAGCATTTTTTTTCTTTTTTTCTTCAGGGAATATTGGCGGCTTAGTCGCCAGGGAGGCACACTGCCAGCTCGGAGGAGTCCCTCCGTTGGGAAGCAGCTGGTAGTTTCTGACTACATGGTCAGGCTGGCTTGCTGTGAGGCTTCAACTTGCAATAAGCACTTGCTCACTGCCACCGAGTTGGAACAGACAGACAGACGGCTGACCCTCCAGCGACTTTGTCAGAGGTCATAAATCATTCAGAAAGAAGACTGCCTCTTTTCCTCCTACAGAGCACCTGGTGGATTTGAACCACAGGCCTTTGGGTTGGCAGTGCGACTCCTTACCACCAGCCCACCAGAGCTCCCTACAACAGATAGGTCTATAAGGAGCTCTAAAAGGCTGAGTCTATAGGGAGCGGGGTTGCTAACCCAAAGGCCTCGTGTCTGGAAGTTGAATCCACCAGCAGCTCCGACTAAGAAAGATGAAGCGATGAGCAGTCCACTTTCCAAATGATTTACAGTGGCTGGAGGGTTGGCTCTGAGTCAGAACCAACGCAAAGGCATCTCCTCACGTTAGCACTTTATTAATTCTATAGATTCTGGACTGTTAGGAACTTGGCTGGCAGTTTGAACCCACGTAGCTGGCTGTGGGAGAGAAGCTTGACGAGTCTGTTTCCAATAACATTGTTGCTGTTATATGCCATTGAATTACTTGTGACTCATAGCGACCCTATGTACAAGAGCCCTAAATCCTGCTCTATCCTGTGCCAGCCTCTCTCTGACACACCTACTCTCACCACCGCAATCACTGAATCGATCCATCTCATTGAGGGTCTTCCTCTCCTGCGCCGTCCCTTCACCCTCCCAAACATGACGTCCCTCTCCAAGGACTGGTCTCTCCTTTCAACATGACCAAAGTATGTCAGACGAAGCTTCAGAATCCTTGCCTCCACGGAGAAGCCCGGCTTTACCCTCTCCAGGGCAAACCTGTTTGTTCTCCTAGCAGTCCATGGTATAGTCAACACTCTTCTCTAGCACCACAGCTCAAAGGCATCAATTCTCTTTCTCTCATCCCTAGTCACTGTCCAACTCTCTGAAGCATAGCATGTAACTGCAAAGACTATAGCCCAGATCAGGCGCAACTTAGTCCCCAGCCTGATGTCGTTGCTCTTCAGTACTCTGGAAAGGCCCCTGACAGTTGACCTTCCTAGTGCAATTCATCTCTTCATTTCCTGGCTGCTGGTACCAAGCCCTGAAAACTCCAGACACCCAGGGCTCAACTTTTAACCAAATACACTCAAGATGCACTGCCTTTAAAAAAAAAGGAGGGGAGGTCTGGTGGCCTAGTGGCAAGAAGCTGTACTGCAATCCCAAAGGTACACGGTTCGAATCCACCAGATGCTCTGCCGGAGAAGGAGGGACAATTTCCTCCTGTACCAGTCAGATCTGATTTGACAGTACATGCACAAAAAATAAATTTTTTTTAAAA